ACACGCACCCGGCTAATTTTTTAAATTTTTAGTAGAGACGGGGTTTCACCATGTTGGTCAGGGTGGTCTCGAACTCCTGACCTCAGATGATCCGCCCACCTCGGCCTCCCAAAGTGCTGGGATTACAGGTGTGAGCCACTGCGCCCGGCCACTTTCTAACTTTTGAATCATCTGAATATATTACTTATTCAAAAAGGTACTTTGTTTTTCCAACAGGTGTTATGAAAATTTTCAAACATACAACAAAGACGAAAGAATTTTACAAGAATCTATACATCCATCACCGAGATTCCACCATTAGCATGCACTATTCTTACGTTATCATATATCTAGCCATCCATCTATCCAACTATTAAAAATAAGTAGAGTGTACTTTCCTGGGCCCCTCCCAAGACCTGCAAGTCATGAGTGGGGCCTGGAAATCTGTTTCTGTAATCTGTTCTCCAGATGATTCTGGCATTGGGAACTTCTGTTCTGGTCCAGCTACTCATCCCATGCAGAAACCACACCTGCAGTTAGTCAGTGGCCAGTGGGGGTGGGATTCTTCCCTTGTCTAAAAGCCCCTTAGCCTCACAAAAATGTCTCTCGGCCGGGCGCGGTGGCTCAAGCCTGTAATCCCAGCACTTTGGGAGGCTGAGACGGGCGGATCACGAGATCAGGAGATCGAGACCATCCTGGCTAACACGGTGAAACCCCGTCTCTACTAAAAATACAAAAAACTAGCCGGGCGAGGTGGCGGGCGCCTGTAGTCCCAGCTACTCGGGAGGCTGAGGCAGGAGAATGGCGTGAACCCGGGAGGCGGAGCTTGGAGCGAGCTGAGATCCAGCCACTGCACTCCAGCCTGGGCGACAGAGCGAGACTCCGTCTCAAAAAAAAAAAAAAAAGTCTCTCTAAGGAAGAGCTTATCTCACTGCGCCAAAATGGCCTCCAGACTCAACTCCATCCTGGCCAACCTCTTCCCCAGGACACGCTTTGGTGCCTCATCAACACCACTTCCAGAGTGGCCCCAGAACCAGACAAAACTCCACAGCATGACCTGCCCAGGGAAGGGACTCCTGGTCTCGTCCCTCCCTAAGCTGAAACTATTCTTCCATGGTTCAGCGTGCATTTGTCCTTTCTGCTGAGAAGGGGAGAACACTCTAAAGTGACGTGGCAGTGTTTGCAACAGACACCTTACTCACTAAATCAGGACAAGATTAGCCAGGCCCCTTGAGTCAGAAAGTGTTTGCATCTCCTTACCCACCTTTAGCCTTCTCTTCTTGCCATAATGGTAATAAGGATGATTTCCATGATAATTGATAGAGAGAGATAAATGAAGAAATATGTATATATATTAGACAGATGAAGAGATTGGATAGATGATAGATAGATACATACATAGATAGATAGATAGATAGATAGATAGATAGATAGATCGATCGATCTGTGGAGAGATTGGAGACAGAGATTGGATGAATGGATGGAAGGATGGATGGATGGATGGATGGATGGATGAACTGATAGACTGATAGAGAGATAGATCAATGGAGAGATACATAGATAGATACATAGGTAGATAGATACATAGATACACAGAGATGGATCAGTGGAGAGATTAGGTAGATAGATCGATCAATGAAGAGATAGATCAGTTGAAAGATAGACAGATGATTGATTGATGGAGAGATTACATAGATGGATGGATCAATGGAGAGATAGATAGACATTAGATAGATAGATGGATAGATGAACAGATAGATGGATGGCTGGATCAATGGATAGGTTGATTGATGGATGGATGGAGAGGATAGCAAGAGATTAGATAGATCAATAGATACATAGATCAATTGAGATAGATGGATCAATGGAGAGACCAGATAGACAGATGAACTGATCGATTGATAGATAGAGAGACAGACATATAAATAGATAAACACTGACAGAGCCCCTCCTGCGTAGCAGGTGTTGTTGCAGGCACATTACTTGCATTCATTCATTTTATTGTCACAAGAACCCCATAGAGTAGGTACTATTACCCCCATTTTCTACAAATGAAGCAACTGAGGCACGGAAGGACTAAGTAACCTACCCAAAGGTACACGGCATTTTCTCTTTAGTCACCAACACACATAAACACACATAGAGCACTCATGAATACTCATGGGCTGGTCTTTAGTTTCCCAGAGCTCCCTACCATCAAGTCCTGTAGTGTAGTTCCTCCTGGCTAGTATACCTGTGCTCTTAACCTTTCCTGATAACTAATTCCTTCTTCCTGCCAAAATCCAACAGTCTACTTTCCCAGAAACTTGCTAGATGGCTAGAGCCAATCTGAAAAATAAATTCAAGTTAAAGTGTCTCTGGCTGATGCATTTACCTCCTCAGGTAAATGTGTGTGTCCGTGCTAACATATATAAGTATATGCAATTTTTTAAGTGGAATTCTTTTTCTTTCTTTCTTTTTTTTTTTTTTTTTTTTTTTTTTTAGTGCAGTGGTGACATCTCAGCTCACTGCAACCTCCGCCTCCCGAGTTCAAGCGATTCTCCTGCCTCAGCCTCCTGAGTAGCTGGGACTACAGGCGCCCGCCACCACGCCGGGCTAATTTTTTGTATTTTTAGTAGAGACGGGGTTTCACCGTGTTAGCCAGGATGGTCTTGATCTCCTGACCTCATTATCCGCCCTCCTCAGCCTCCCAAAGTGCTGGGATTAAAGACATGAGCCACTGCGCCAGGCCGGAATTCTCTTTTTAGAACACAAAACCAAAACAGACAGTGATACTAAATATTTATATATTAAAGGTAATCTTCATAGTCTAGCTTCATGACGGGGCCAGTGGAAAAGATATTGGCACCTTACGAACTTTATATCACCCCATAAATCACATCCCAAAAATCTAAGGATGGCTGAGACTGGCTCCGTCTCCTCTCTGGGGAACACACAAGGGGGTGATACTGAGGTATTTGGGGTGCCTTTTCAGGAATCCCCAGAAAGCCCTAGGCAGAGTCATGAGCCACATTGTTGAAGGGACTTAGAACTTTGCAATGTGCCTCTTGGAGGTGCCAGTGGAAGGAGAGAAATTTGGAGAGCCCTCTGGGATTAGACTTGCTGGATGAAAAAACAGAATGCCCACTTAAATTTGAGTCTCAGATAGAAAAGAAATACTCTTTCGTATAAATATGTGCCAGAGGGCCGGGTGTGGTGGCTCACGCCTGTAATCCCAGCACTTTGGGAGCCCAAGGCGGGTAGATCACTTAAGGTCAGGAGTTCAAAACCAAACTTGCCAACATGGCGAAACCCCGTCTCCACTTAAAAATACAAAAAATTAGCGGGGTGTGGTGGTGCACACCTGTAATCCCAGCTACTTGAAAGGCTGAGGCAGGAGAATCACTTGAACCCAGGAGGTGGGGGTTGCAGTGAGCCGAGATTGTGGCCACTGTACTCCAACCTGGGCAACAGATCGAGACTCTGTCTCAAAAAAAAAAAAAAAAAATCCCAGATATTGTACTGTATTGTACTGGACATACTTATACTAAAAAGCATTTGTTGTTTGTCTAAAATTCTAATTTACCTGGGCATACTGCATTTTCATTTGCTAATCTAGGACCATCTAACACTCTCAGGGAACGAACAAGAGAGACCGTGATGACGGCTTGGCACTCACCGATCTCTGTCCACGGTGAAGTGGCCGAGTGCACTGCCCTGACTGTCCTCCCCACCAGCTTCAAGGTGTCCATTGAGCCAGGGCCATGATTGATTGGACAGAAGAGGGGTCATCCTGTGTCATCCTATAGGGTCACACACATGCTGGGCTGTGCCTTGGACCCAGTAACTTACTTTTTTCAGAAGAAAACTGGTTTCTTGGTAACCTCCTGAGAGGACTGGGAGGGAATCCTCCAAAATGATTTCCAGTTCCCCAAACTTCGTTCCCCATTATTCTTGATGACCTTTTTCTTTTTTTTGAGACACAGTCTGACTCTGTCGCCCAGGCTGGAGTGTAGTGGTGCAATCTTGGCTCACTGCAACCTCCACCACCTGGATTAAGTAATTCTTGTGCCTCAACCTCCCAAGTAGCTGAGACTACAGGCTTGCACCACCATGCCCAGCTAATTTTTGTACTTTTATTAGCGACAGGGTTTCACCATGTTGGCAAGGCTGGTCTTGAACTCCTGGCCTCAAGCAATCTGCCCACTTCAGCCTCCCAAACTGCTGGGATTACAGGCATGAGCCACGGCACCCAGCGGATGTTTTTTTTTTTTTCTAATCACAAAAGAAACAAACTTTCAGGGTGAAAATGCAAACATCACAGAAATATAAAACTTAGAAAGTCTCTCCAGAGATAACTGCTATAAACAGTTTGATGTGTCTTCTTCCAGATTTTCCTCTATGAGTATGATCATGTATTATCATCTTCATAAATAGAATTGTATTACACAGGCTGTTCTGAAACTTGCTTCCGTTTATCGTGATGTCGGGGACTTCCTTCCATATCTGTGTGCATTCCTGCTTCACTGGTCTTACTCCGCCTCATTCTTTATGTCAGTGGCTCTGGGTCTTTGGAGCTCTAAGCCCCTTTGGGTGTTCTATGACTGACGAATGCACACAGGCAGATCCCACAGACATGTGACTCTGAGTGTCATAGACTTCCCGAGGCTGATCCACTACTGACCCCTTCACCCTGTGCATGGTATGGGGCTGGGGGTGTGGAGGGAAGATGGGGATCACTGAAATGGGTCCAGGAGGGTGGGAAGGACGGTGTGTGTGACTTTCCTATTGATAGGAAGACCCATGCCTGGCGAGCCTCAGTCAAAGGGGTCCTGGGTCACTACCTCCCCGGTGAGACCCTCTGACTCTCCTGAGCACCCACCCCTGGGCTCCTCCTCAGGCTAGGGGTTCCTCTCCTGGCATCCTCAGCAAGATCACCTGACTCCAGCAGCTGCCAACCCCCTGGGCAACGCCAAAGCCTCCTGGCCTCAAACGGGTTGGGCGACATTCACTTCCTCGCGCTGTCCTCCCGACCTGCTCTGTCATTAGGAATCCCTCGGCGGCGGCGGTCACACTAACAGCAACAGGAGGAGATCGTGCTGCTGCCCAGCACCTCGGGGCGGCTCAGATCTGCTGGAGGCCCCAGGAGGGAAGGTGGATGCTGCTCTCTCTGGTCCCAGCCAAAGTGAGTCTAGGGGCCTGGCTGGGGGTGGGGAAGGAGCTTGGCAATGTTGGAAGGTTGCCAACGTTGGAAGGATGCAGGAGAATGAGGGAGAGAAAAATTGAAAGAGAGAGAAGAGATAGCTGTGGGTGAGGAAGTAGTCACAGCTAAAGCTGTAGGACCTTGCACTGGGGCTCCAGGAGGGAATCCCAGGTGCCTGGAAGTGTCATTCTGTCCCACAGGCTCTGTGCTGAGGTGGGGATGGGGGGTGTTTTCTCTGGGGTGGAGACACCTGCCCCTGTCACCCTGTCCTGGAAATGGGCTACTGCTATGGGGGAGACTCAGTGAGGGCAGCTCCCTTGGGCCAGCCATTGCCTTCCCCCTGCCTCCCAGGTGGCCAGAGGGGCATCCTTGTTTAGGGTCACTCTGAGGAAGGAAGGTTGGGTAGTCACTTCTCTGTCAGTGCTATTTCTTCTATTCCTTTGACCAAAGTCTGAAGACAAAGTCTTAAGCTCTGAGCTTCAGTTCCCTTATCTATGAAATGGAGACACTCCCTACCTCCCAGCGTTGTTGTCAGGATCAGATGAGGAAGGGATGCAAAATGCCAAGTGCATAATTAGGATTCAATAAATGGTCGCTGTTGTAATTATTTATTATTAGCTCAATACTGGTCCTACTTCACCTAAGAAGACCTTCCAGCCCTCCTCTCCCCTCATTTTCCTAAGGCACCAATAGGGATGCTTTTGGCACTTACTGCATCGTTCTCGAACTTGTTTGTGCTCAAACTAGAGTATGTTCCTTGCATTTCTTCTGTTGCCCTCTCCCTCACCCCAGCACCCAGACAGAATCAGGCCTTAAGAGGAACTCAAGGATGGAGAATGGAATGGGATTCAGAAAGGGAGAGAGGCAAAGAGGGAGGGGTCAGGGAAAGACTGAGAAAGGGAAGCAAGAAGGTGGGGAAGGAGGTAGCATTGTCCAGGTGTGAATGGCGTGGCTCTCTGGAAGCACGGGAAGGGGGAAGGATTGCCCAGAGAGGCCATGTTTGGAAGATGGAAGGATTGCCCAGAGAGGCCGTCATTGAAATGGGGAAGGATTGCCCAGAGAGGCCATGTTTGGAAGATGGAAGGATTGCCCAGAGACGCCATCATTGAAAGGGAGAAGGATTGCCCAGAGAGGCCATGTTTGGAAGGGTGAAGGATTGCCCAGAGAGGCCATTGTTGGAAGAGGGAAGGATTGCCCAGAGAGGTTTGGAAGATGGAAGGATTGCCCAGAGAGGCCATGTTTGGAAGGGTGAAGGATTGCCCAGAGAGGCCATTGTTGGAAGAGGGAAGGATTGCCCAGAGAGGCCATTGTTGGAAGGGAGAAGGATTGCCCAGAGAGGCCATGTTTGGAAGATGGAAGGATTGCCCAGAGAGGCCATCATTGAAATGGGGAAGGATTGCCCAGAGAGGCCATCGTTGGAAGGGGGAAGGCTTGCCCAGAGACGCCATCGTTGGAAGGGAGAAGGATTGCCCAGAGAGGCCATCAATGGGGCTGGGATGTCTTCTGCACTCCCTGGGTCCTTTTCACTTTTCCGCTAACTCGGATGAAAAGTACAGGCTCTCCGCCTCCTTCCCTGCTCATCTCAAGGCGGATGGTGCTTCCTAACTTGGCTAATACCTACTCACCCAATCTATCAGCTGATTCTCACAATGTTCTACCATCTACGGAATCTTCTCTGTCTCTGTTAACTCCCCCTCCATCACCTTCACCGGTGACCTTAGGCAAGTCATTTCCCTCTCTCTAGACATGGATCTGCTCATCTCTGAAACTAGGAACTTCAACTAAGTGATCTCTAAAGTCCTTTTTTCCCTCTAGGATTCCTTATTTGCTCGTCTTCTCTTGTCAGCCTTGATCTCTACTTCTCAGTTATCCAAACAACTTAAACCATCGATCATCAATCCTCCTTTCAAAAAAATATCTTTTTTGAGAAAATTTATAAATGTCCACTGAGCTCTAAAGTTTTATAAGAACTTCCTTGACCACTACTTACCCCTAATATGTAAGCTCAGTACCTAGCATATAGCAGGTGGTCAATAAATATGTGTTGAATAATTAGACGGATGGATGGATGGATAGAAGGATGGAACTCTTGCCGTCATACACTTTGGGGAGTTATGAAATGTAATGAAACATATTAATAGTTGATTGACTTAAGAAAATCATGGCCATCCTGATTATAATGGCTGTTTGGTATAAACATTTGCAAATGTGTTATTAAAAAACTACTAAGAAACATTGGAATAACCATTTAAACTCTTATTGATCGCCCATCGCTTATCTTATCCATTGTCATCTTGTTCAGTTATTCTAATTTGAGATGAGTTGCCCTCTGTCAAGGGGGTGCGATTTTTTTAATCATCCACATACCAAGGAACATTTGGGGATGACAGGGAAGGAAAGGAAGGCAAATGCTGTGGCTGCCTCAAGAGCTGTAACAGGGGTCTCCAAGTCTCCTTTGGGAGAAGAGGTGACAGGACGTGGCCTGTCTTAATAATGACAACTGCCATTTACTGAGTACTTACTCTGAGCCAAACTCTTGACTCACATTAGCTCACTTAATTCCCCCAACAACTCTCCGAGGAAGATGGTACCATTATTATCAAGTTCATCTTATGGACAGGAAACTGAGACTTAGAGAGGTTAAACAACTTGGTTAAGCTTATACAGACAGTAATGGGTAGATCAAAGATTTGAACCCCTAGCCCCATCCTGCGGGCCACACTGACCACCTCAAAGACCACACCTGGAAACTCCCAAAGAGGTTTGGGGGCTGCTTCCAGGATGCCGGATTCCTTATCCCACCTCCAAATATTTTTGCTGTTTCTTAGACTATGGGACATTTTCAACTCGGCAAAATGGATTTAGAGCCAAGTCAAGAGAGGGAGGGATTCTGAAAGATTTGTGATCTTAACAGTTGTCCTTCATATACATTGATTTTATTCTGATTATGTCATCTCTCAGGTCTGGGGGCTGCCATGCAGCTCTATTTTATCAGTGTGCCCAGGGGTCTTTTGTCTCTGTCATGGATGGAAGAAAGTAGCAATAACATGGAATCATGGTTCCTTTTAAAGAAGCCGTTCTAGATAAGTTTAGGCGACACAGTTGTGACACTGCGAACTTTTCAATGAGGACACTTGGACCTCACCACACACCCCAGTGGATGTTTCCCTTCAAAGCCATCGACTTGGGAAGCCATGTACTTAATCAAACAAATCTGCTCTCAGATTCTGTTTAAAACCCATCTTGTGGCCGGGCGCGGTGGCTCACGTCTGTAATCCCAGCACTTTGGGAGGCTGAGGCAGGCGGATCACTGGAGGTCAGGAGTTCAAGACCAGCCTGGCCAACATGGTGAAATCCTGTCTCTACTAAAAATACAAAAATTAGCCAGGGGTGGTGGCACACGCCTGTAATGCCAGTTATTCGGGAAGCTGAGACAGGAGAATCTCTTGAACCCAGGAAGTGGAGGTTGTAGTCAGCTGAGGTCACACCACTACACTCCAGCCTGGGTGACAGAGCAAAACTCTCTTTCAAAAAAGAAACAAATCATCTTGTTACTTTATAGTGACTCTGTAGCTTTGATTTCAAACAATATCATGTCACTTGATCATTCATTTACTTTCCTATCAGACTTGGCTCCCAGTGACTTCTGGCCACTTCCAAAATATCAGACATATTCTCAAAGGATAAAATTCTGTCTCCATCAAGGTTGATCAGATGCTTCTCTCACTGCCTCAGGCAGCCCCATAAGAAGAATCTGGAGAATGACTGAGCTGTGGCAGGTGAGGGAATGAACCCAAAACTTCCTGACGTGACTGTGTGGAAGGCCAGCAGGCATTTGAATGTGTAAGTTCTGAGCTTTGTTTTTTTAAACAGTCATTGCTTTATAGCCACACTTAGCACAGAGGAATGCAGTCCAATGGCTGGAGGAAATCCAGTGGACCCGCCAACCCCAGGTGAGGGCAGAGGTTGAGACTAGCACAGGCTTTTCTGGAAAATGGCCACTCTGGGTGCAGGCCCAAATTGGAGACTGGACTGGGGCTGTGCATGCATCTCCTTAGCCACCTGCTTCCCCTGGTAACAGGGACTTCCTTCCTTCACTTCCGTCACTGAAGCAGGAAGAGGTGAGGCGGTGACCTCACCATGTGTGTACATGGTGATTGAGGTGAGACATCAGGAACTCCACACACCTCCTCCTGGGGTCCAGTGTGACTGGGTTCTCTGGTTCTCTGTCTCCCGATTCTCGCTTCCAGAAGCTTCTACTCCTCTCCTCCTAAGGGTCTTGGGCTCTAGGTTTAAGTCAGGTGGGCCATAGAGGAGGAGCAGCAGAAGAGCCAAGAGTAGGAGGAAGAGAGAGGCGGAAGACAGGGAGAGGGGATAAGAGGCAGTGGAGGCAGAGGTGTAGGTGGGAGCTAGGACGGGAGAGGGAAAGAGGGAAATGCCTCAATATTCACCACCCTTCCCGCCCACAGCTGAGTGTGCCATCTCCCAGTGGCCATGTCAGAAGGAGAGAGCAAGGACAGCTCGGGCAGCGAGTGCCCCGTGTGCTACGAGAAGTTCCGGGACCTGGAGGGCGCCAGCCGGACGCTGAGCTGTGGCCATGTGTTCTGCCATGACTGCCTGGTCAAGTACCTGCTGTCCACCCGCGTGGACGGGCAGGTCCAGAGGACCCTGGTCTGCCCCATCTGCCGCTACGTCACGTTCCTCAGCAAGAAGAGCTCCCGCTGGCCCTCCATGCTGGACAAGAGCTCCCAGACCCTGACTGTGCCTGTGGCCCTGCCCTCCGTGCCCCCACTGGACAGCCTGGGTCACACAAACCCCCTGGCTGCCTCCTCGTCCGCCTGGAGGCCACCCCCGGGCCAGGCCAGGTCGCCGGGCAGCCCGGGCCAGAGCGCCCAGCTCCCCCTGGACCTGCTGCCCAGCCTGCCCCGAGAGTCGCAGGTCTTCGTCATCAGCCGCCACGGGATGCCCCTCGGGGAGCAGGACAGCGTGCTGCCCCGCCGCAGCCTGGCCGAGCTCTCGGAGGCCTCCCCCGCGCCCCGCTCCGCCCGCGCCTTCTGCTGCCGATCGCGGGCCCTACTGCTCATCACGCTGATCGCCGTGGTGGCCGTGGTGGCCGCCATCCTGCCCTGGGTGCTGCTGGTGAGGAAGCAGGCATGAGGCGCACAGCAGGGAGACCGCCGGGCTGGCTGTGGCCTGGGGTGGGACGGGAGGCCCGACGGCAGCCCTGGTGCCACCAAGCTCCGAAGCGCACGAGGGCAGGCAGAGGGGAGGTCCTGGGCACAGAGAGGGCCTTGGGCTTCCCCGACCCCCGCAGGGAGGCTGGAGCTGACTCCATGGGCGCAGCGCGTTTCCCCACGTGAATCCTCACAGACGCCTTCCCCTTCCATCTAGGCTGGGAAGATGGGTGGTTACTGCCCTCCTGCAGGCTCACCAGCCCTGAGCGGCAGACCTTACCTGCCAGGTGTCTTGCCCAAAGCCAGGTGGACCCCTCCAGGGGCAAGGAAGCCCTGCTGGCAGATGTCCTGCTGGGCTGGTCGATGGCAGGATCCTCCAGGCCAGAATTCCCACCCAGGATTTGTGACTTGCCCTCGGGAACAGACAGAACGGACACCCAGAATCTCAGCACTCACCCCTGACCTCCACCACAGTACCCCATCCCTAAGGCCTCCCTGTCCCCAACCTGCCAGCTTAGAAGGGCTTCCCTGAAGGAGAAGCTGATCTCAGAGGCTGCGTCAGCATTTCTGGGAGAATGAACAGAAACGGTTCTTCCCGGAGAGCTGAGGCCAGATCCAGACAGGGGTTTGTTGATAGACACCACGCCAGCAGAGTGCCCCACGGACGGAGCCAGAGGTCCCCCTGAGCCCTCCAGGCCCAATGAGGGATCCAAACTTTGAGTCCTAGGGTTCTCAAGGGTGGCAGGGAGTGGAAGGGAAGCCTGACAGGCGAGCCTTGAGTCAGCTGAGAACTATGTGGGCAAACGAACCCCTGGGGGCTCCCACCTCCCTCCCAGCTGGTCCTCCTCCTCATGACCCAGCCACTCATTTAGAGGCCACACCAGCTGGGCCAGTTTCCTAGGTGGATTGCCAGGCTGGGCTGGGTGAGGAAGGGTGGGGAGGAAAACAGCTATGCTTGTCAGGGACGCCGCCATCTCAACTGAGGAATGCTGAGGCCCAGGTGCCATCAGCTGCTCCCCGAGATCTCTTTGCCTGGGGCGCCCGCGTGGGACTGTGAAGAGTCTCAGGTTGGGTCTAGCCTGAGTCATTCGGGGATAGCTATCGGCTGTTTATTGTGGTCCGTAAGTCAACCAACACCTTTCAACGGAAAACAACAAAAACCTCTAGCAATTATCTCAAATAAGTGGCAGCCTGCACCCAGCTGTGCCCACGGTTGAGCGCCCCCCCGCCCCCGCCAACCTTCCCCAACCTATACCCCTCTCAGCAATTTGCTGTCTGTGGGGGAAGAAATAGTAGTCTACATTTTATCTAGTTCCTAAATGCCTGCAGTGGTGGTCATCTGGGGACCGCTGGGGAATTGGGCCCCACTACAGGGGATATTTGGGACATAGCGAAGGCTGCTTTGAAAGCATTTGTGGGCTTCTCTGTGCTCATTTCAAGATTACAGAAGTGGCCGGGTGCGGTGGCTCACGCCTGTAATCCCAGCACTTTGGGAGGCTGAGGCGGGTGGATCACGAGGTCAGGAGTTCGAGACCAGCCTGGTCAATGTGGTGAAACCCCGTCTCTACTAAAAATACAAAAATTAGCCAGGCGTGGTGGCGCACGCCTGTAGTCCCAGCTACTTGGGAGAGGCAGAATATCCGCTTGAACCCGGGAGGCAGAGGTTGCAGTGAGCCAAGATCGCGCCACTGCACTCCAGCCTGAGTGACAGAGCGAGACTCCGTCTTAAAAAAAAAAAAAAAAAAAAAAACAGACGAGCACAGGTGCTATTGGGGGGAAGGGATACAGATGGATTCTATGGGGAAAATATTTATTATAGGAATAAAAATAATGTTAAATTTGCAAAGACTCCAATGAGTCTCTTTTAACCTCAGCCAGGCTGTTTTAAACAGTGTCATGAATTTTTGGGAACCTGGTTCTAGTCTTTTCAGATTCTGTCGTATTTGCCAAAAGTTTCTTCCAAAATACCCTCAGTGTTTTCACATTGTTCAGTGGTGACCTGTAGCTGCAACTTCTTTTATTTTCAGAGAATGCCAAAAGCTATTTTTAAAATAAAGGTATATATTTTCTCAAAGATTCCAGAGACTTTGCAATGTATGTGGGAAGCTCCGAGCCTGGACTTGAAGGACAATTCACTTTAGATGAAAAAGTTTGACGCAGTGTCTCACTCCTGTAATCCCAGCACTTTGGGAGGCCGAGGCAGGTGGATCACGAGGTCAGGAGTTCCAGACCAGCCTGGCCAGCATGGTGAAACCCCCATCTCTACTAAAAATACAAAAAATTAGCCAGGCATGGTGGCATATGCCTATAGTCCCAGCTACTCGGGAGGCTGAGGCAGGAGAATCGCTTGAGCCTGGGAGGTGGATGTTGCAGTGAGCCGAGGTCACGCCACTGCACTCCAGCTGGGCGACAGAGCAAGACTCCATCTCAAAAAAAAAAAAAAAAGAAAAGAAAAAAAAAAAAAGAAAAAGTTTGAAATACAAACACAAATGGCTCCTACACAGCTATTCAACCACACTTGCAAAAGAAAATTAAAATTCTGCTGGCATGCCATTAAAATTCTGCTGGCATGCCATTTTTCACCTATGAGCTTGTCCAAAACCTGGAAGTCTCATAACCCACTCTGCTACTGAAGCTGAGGGAGGCAGGGGAATGGTTAGTGGGAATGCATATTATTAAAATCCCTATCAAGAGCAATGTGACATTATCTACCAAAATTTCTGCCTTGCTCCAGTAATTCCTGTTCTAGAAACACCCTACAGATATACTTGCATGTATGGGCAGCAGCATACATATGATGCTATAAAATTGCAGTGCTGTTTATAAAAACAAAGGATTGGAAAAACCCTGAATGCTAATCAGTAGGGTACTGGTTATTTATCTTAAGATCCAAGGAATATCATGCAGCTGTATTAAAAAAAAAAAAAGAAAAAAGAAAAGAACAAGAAAGGACTCAATGAACTTATACGGAATGTCTCCAGGGTACAATGGAAAATGAGGAAACGCAAGGTGTGGAACACTGGATACTGGATACTACAATTTGTATAGAAAGAGCGGGAAATAGGCCAGGCACAGTGTCTCACGCCTGTAATCCCAGCACTTTGGGAGGCCAAAGCGGGTGGATCACCTGAGGTCAGGAGTTCGAGACCAGCCTGGCCAACACGGTAAAACCCGGTCTCTACTAAAAATACAAAAATTAGCCGGGCATGGTGGTGCATGCCTGTAATCCCAGCTACTAGGGAGGCTGAGGCAGGAGAATTGCTTGAACCCAGGAGGCGGAGGTTGTAGTGAGCTGAGATGGCACCATTGCACTCCAGCCTGGGAGACAGAGCGAGACTCTGTCTCAAAAAAAAAGAAAAAGAAAAAGAAAGAAAGGGGGGAATAAGAATTTACATTCCTGGCCGGGCGCGGTGGCTCAAGCCTGTAATCCCAGCACTTTGGGAGGCCGAGACGGGCGGATCACGAGGTCAGGAGAGCTCGGAGGAGCATCCTGGGCTAACACGGTGAAAACCCCGCTCTCTACTAAGAGGAAAAACTGCTGGTGCGGGTGGCGGCGCTGTAGTCCCACTACGGTCGGGGAGCTGGCAGGAGAAGGTGAAGACCCGCGCGCGCGCCGGCTTGCAGTGAGCTGAGATCCGGCCAGCTGCACTCCAGGCCTGGGCGGCAGCGGGACTCGCGTGCAGAAGAAAAAAAAAAAAAAAAAAAAAGAATTTACATTCCTATTTGCTTACTTATGCATCAAAAAAGAGGGAATGCAGGGCACGGTGGTTCACGCCTATAATCCTAGCACTTTGGGAGGCCAAGGTGGGAGGATCGCTTGAGGCCAGTTCAAAACCAGCCTGGGCAACATAGCGAGACCCTATCTCTATAAAAAAAAAAATTAATTACCTGGGTGTGGTGGCACACCTCCGTAGCCCCAGCTATTCAGGCAGTTGAGGTGGGAGGGTCCCTTGAGCCCAGGAGGCTGCAGTGAGCTACAATTGCACCAATGTACTCCAGCCTGCCCTCCGGCTTAGTTTCCGTATTTTTTAGTAGGAGACGGGGTTTTCACCGATGTTAGGCCAGGATATGGTCTTCGATTCTCTGAACCCTCGTGATCCGCCCCGTCTCAGCCTCCCAAAGTGCTGGGGATTACAGGCTTGAGCCACGCGCCCGGCTAGGGAGCTTCTAATATTTTTCAATTCAGTTTTTTTGAATGCATACAATTTACTTAGTTCAAACAGTCAAAAGGTATAAAAGGTAAAGTGGAGGGCCGGGCGCGGTGGGCTCCACGCCTGTAGTCCCAGCTACTTTGGAGGTCGTCAAAAAAAAGGCGGGTTGGATCACAATGAGTCCAGGAGATCGGAGAACCATCCTGGCTAAACATGGTGAAACCCCGTCTCTAACTAAAAATACAAAAAAATTAGCTTGGGCGTGCGGCGGGTGCCCCTGGTAGTCCAGCCCACTCAGGAGGCTGAGGCAGGGGAATGGCGTGAAAACAGGAGGGCGCGGAGCTTGCAGTGACAAGAGATCACGCCACTGCACTCCAAAGCCTGGGCCAAAGCAGAAGCAACTCCATCTCAAAAAAAAAAAAAAAAAGGTAAAGTGAAAACTCCCTTCCCATTTCCATCATTTTCTCATCCCCTTTCCCATGGCTAGTCAGAATTATTATTTTGTACATCTTCCTTCCTCCCCTTCCTTCCGGTCCCTCCCCACCTCGCCCTTTCTCCTTCCTCCCTTCTTCTTTCCTTCCTTCCTTCCTGTCCTTCCTTCCTTCCTTCCTTCCTTCCTTCTTCCTTCCTTCCTTCCTTCCTTCCTTCCTTCCTTTCCTCTCTACCCCACCTTCTTTGTCTTTCTGCTTTTCCTTTCTCCTCTCATCAAGGTCTTACTCCTGTTTGGCTCAG